TTTTTTTTTATAAAAATTAGGGACGGCTGTCCCTTCATTTTGGACGGGCGCCCGCAAATAAGGGATGCCCATCCTTAACCAAAATATGAAAAAAAAAAAAAAAACTTTGCGGACGGCCGTCTATAAATTTTGGACGGCCGTCCCTTACGTTTGGACAGGGTCCTTCCCATCCCAAACTTAAAAAAAAAAAAAAAAAAAAAAAAAAAATTCTAAACAAAACTCTTCTTCTTCGTCTTCATTCCATCTTCTCTTCTTTTCTTCGTTTGTTTATGAGATAGCGGATGCCAAATCCAAGCCCAGAAAACTACAGAAACAAAACAGGGAGAGCTTAAACATTGCACCTATTTACCCAAAAATACAGTTAAAAGATAACTCTTTTTGGTAAAAGCTCAACATGATGAGTCCATTTATTTATTAATACTCAGATGAATTTATAAAGAGCTGGTGTAATTTCAGTAGATGCTGCAAATTTCTGATCACCATCTTCATACACCATGTTTAGCGAGAGGGAAGGAAAAGGAACTCATTTTAAGAGTTATTTCCAGAAGAGCAACTTGGCAGTGAACTAGATATGAATAAATTTTAATATATCTTAAACTTTAACTATTCTTAATCCAAGCTACCCACAAAACAAGTCTTTCACAAGGCTACTTCCCAGCAAGAGAAAATGTAATGGCCTTAAAGTATAAATTAAAAGACTGATTCACGTGCCTGGTACCCGGTTTACACATGCTGCAAGCCTCTCTTTCACCATGCTTTCAGCCAGCTTCTTTCCTGAACAAATTTTTAAATGAAATATTCAGCTCAATTCCGTTGAAGAATAGAAAATTAAAAAACGATGACGTGCTGCCAAACAGAATAAGGAAACAATACCTGCTTCTTTGTTAGGTACAGTAACGTAAACTACAATCATCGGTACAGTGTCGTTGTTCCCTTCCATTTTGATGGCGTTAAAGCTCTTTGATGGTGTTTTAGTACCAGAACTTTGATCTAAAATTACAATTATGTAAATGCTAACAAGCGATAATTCAATTACAATAAAACTACAGAGAAATTGATTCGAAATTTAAGGTATGTACCTTAAAAGAGAAATTGTTTTCCTTGTTTTGTTTTGTAGTTTCTTTGGAGCCTTTGGATTTGATACGCCTATCTCATAAAACAAAGATGAAAGAGAAGAGAGGAGATGGGGAACGAAGACGAAGAAGAAGAGCGAAGAAGAAGAGTTTTGTTTAGAATTTTTTTTTTATTTTCATATTTTGGTTAAGGACGGATGTGGACGTCCGTCCAAAATGGAGGGACTGTTGTCCCTAACGGATGAATGACAATCCCTAATTTTTATAAAAAAAAATTATTCCATTTTATTTATGGACGAGAGTCCTTTAAATGAAGACGTCTGTCCATAGTAAATGAACATCTGTCCATATAATATTGATGGGAGTCCATATTTGATAGATGACAGTTCATTAGAAAAATATTTATAGAAAATCAGGCGTCTGAATTACTGGTGTGATTCAAGAGGTCACGTAAATCCATACACATTTTTGGCACAAAATCATTAATGTTCGTAGCTTTGTTGATAAGGCATTTAATATAGTAACTTACCAAGCATTAATTTTATTATTATCTGACGTAAGAAAAATGCAGGCAAGGCAGAGGGCTTCTGTTTTGGAATTTGGAATGGGTTATAATTAGGGGTGAGTGGTTCTGAGTACCTTGTATTTTTCAAAGAAACTAGAATCAGAACTGCATAGTACAGGTTCTCAAAAAAAGGAATCGGAATCAGAACCGCACAGTGCAGGTTCTTCAATTCAAGGAACCGGAACCTAAAATGCAGGTTCCGGTTCCTTTCCAGGGTACCCTATAAAAAATCAATTACCCCCCTATTAGTTTAAAAAATAACAAAAACACCTTATAAGTTTACAAATACACCCCTAACAAATTTTCATTATTCATTCATTTGTGTCCAATGTAACTCATAACCTGTAATCTCTAAGCAACACTTGAATTGTTAATCATTTAATTAAGTATTGTAATATTGTTTATATAGAATGTTAATTATTAAATAATCATACCATAATTTATAATATAATGTTAATAATTTGATTACGTATTGTATAAATTAGTAAATTACTAATGTTTATAATATAATGTCATAATCATTAAGTAACCATTTAATTATGTAATGTTATATTAATTATATATCATCCTATATAGTATAATTATGTTATAATGAATTAAGTAATCTACTATAATCTATAATTTAATATTATAATTAATTAATTTCAAATCTTTAATTAATATACTTGTTATAATAGAATGTTATAATTGATTAAGTAATCTATTACAAATATATAAAGTAATGTTATAATTAATTAAATTTTTATCGTTAATTAGTAATGTAATAGTTAGTATTACTAAGTTTTATAATGTAATGTTATAAATTCATAACTAATTAGTATTATGTAATCATTTAACTATTTAATCTATAATTAAGTAAGTGATCATAATATAATATATAATTTAATTGAGTAATTATTTAACTAAATGTAATGCTTAATTAATGTTTAAAAACATAATATCATAACTCATAATCAATTAATTATCATTTAATTATTTAATGTTATATATTATATGATCATACTATATAGTATAATATATTTATATAATTATAATCATACAATAATCTATAATTTAATATGATAATTAATATTCAAATCATTGATTAATATACTAATGTTTATAATGGAATTTATATTGATTAAGTATCATATATAAATATATAAGGTAATGTTATAATTAATTAAATTTTTAATCGTTTAATTAAGTAATGTATAATATAGTAAATTAAATTACTAATGTTTATAATGTAATGTTATAAATTCTAATTAATTATGTAATTATGTAATCATTTAACTAATAATACTATATTAAATAATGATCATAATATTTGTAATATATAAATTATAATTTAATTGAATAATTATTTAACTATATGTACTGCTTAATTATGTTATAATGAAATGTTTTAAAGTAATGTTATGATTAATTAAATTCTTATCATTTAATTAAGTATTATGCTAATGTTTATGTAGTAAATTAGTAATTACTAATTATAATATAATGATAATCAATTAAGTAATTATTTAATTATTAATGTTATAATTAATTATATAATCATACTATATGTATGTTTGTGAATTAACTATTATAATCATACTATAAATTTTTAATGTAATATTTAATTAATTAATTTTAATCATTTAATTAAGTTTGTACTAATGTTTATACTAATGTTATAATTGATTAAGTATTATATTAAATCTATAACGTAATGTTATAATAATTAATTTCTAATTATAAATCAATTAATTACTATTTAATTATGTTATAACTTATAAGTCAATTATAAGTAGTAATCAATTATGTAATGTTATAATTATTATATAAAATCAATTAAGTAATGTTATAAAATATATTATTAAGTAATCATTTTAACTATAATGAATGTATTTATGATTAAGTATGATATTTAACTAGTAATTAAATTATTAATGTTTATTAATTTATCATATTAATTATTAATTATAATTTATTTAGATAACTAGACTTGATAATTGAAATAAATAACTAAATATTATTACTCACCATATATTATTTTATTTAAAAATATTCTTTAATAACATTAAAAATGTAACACTTTAATTGGATCATAATTCCAATTATTCACTTAATTGATCAAAACTTTAATATTATGTAGTATATATATTAAAGCTTTTAATATGACGTATTTATATGTAATAAGTATAATTGTATTCGTATATTTATTAATTATGGTATTCTAAAAATTTACTCTTTTTCTATTTTAATTTTTTTTATATGTAAAAATAATAGAAACTCCCCATTATTACATTTAACAATATTTCATTATAGTCCAGTTCCAAAATAGTTTCTAACAAGTTCTAAAAATAGTTTCCAAACATATTCCAAAACAGTTCCAACAGTTCCAAAGGTTCCAAACAGGTTCCAAACAGGTTCCAAACATGTTCCAAAACAGTTCCAAACCGGGTACCCCCTACAGGTTCCAACAGGTACCCTTTTTATAGGTTCTGGTTCCTCCACATGCAAGAACCGAACCGGAACCACATAATGGTTCTAAAAATAGAAATGGAACCTACCCATACAATATAGGTTCTAGGTAATTTCTAGTTTCTATACCCATTCTGATTCACCTGCTATCCGTGCACCCTTATATTATGTTATGGTATGAGCTATCATAGCTGACTAACACAGTGGCCCACTTTAAGCAAGCCCCGACTCTTAAAAAAAAGACATGATATTCAATCAGCAACACGCTTTGCCACGTTTCGCAATTCGAACGACTAGAAGACTCAGCTTAGTCTTTTCTCTCTCTTCTTCTCAAAAGTCATCACCATTTACTCCCAACTCAAATTCTACCCTGTCTAAAATCTAGGGTTTCTCAATCCACTCAATACTCCCCACATCTTTCATTCACAGGTAAATTCTATTTTAATCGGTCATTTCTACTTGCCACCTGAACGAATTCGTTAGTTGTTTTGAATTCTTACCACTCAATTTCGGTGAAACGACTATTTTTTTATGTATGTGTTTGTTTCATTTTTTTTGTGTCTGATGCGTTTATCCCGCTCAATGGTGTATTTGTTTGGATGTTGCGTACACGGAGTCACTCCTAGACGTCCGGCACACAAATAAACCTTAGACAATGAGCAAGCACAAGCAGTGCAGTTTGCGGCTTCATTTGACGTTGCGGTGCCATCTTGTGTGTTCAGGGGGGAATCCAATAGGCTTGTGGTCGAAAAATCGCTGGATCACTTCGTAGCAGCGATTCGTGTCATGGAAGCTTGTTCCTGAGACTGCACCTTCACTCCTAATGCGTTAGTATTCATTTTGAATGGTGTGGTTCTTCGACTTGTCATTTTTACATATTTTTGAAAGTGTTGTCTGTTGTTTTATGCAGGTGACTAGTTGCAAGCATGAGTTCCATCTTCAGTGCATTCTTGAATGGTATCTATTTTAATTTCAGTTTTGGGGATTTATAGTTCTTGATGGATTCATTGGGTCATAACAAACGAATGTTTGAGTTAATAATACACCGTTATCTCTTATTAAAATAATATACCCTAATGAATGATCTTAGAATATTGATGCATATTTAGAAGCAGATAATGATTTTGAGTGTTTGTATTACAGTGTTTTGGTTTTTGAGATTGCAAATTTTTTCGGACAAGTCAGATTTTGAAGAGACGTTAAGGAACTTTTTATGTGAATAACTTTTATGACATTAAATCCTTGCTATATCCTGGCCAAACTACAAGAGTGTGAGCAATTATCTTGCTAGTGTAGTTTTACATATGGCTGGTTTAATTAATGTCAATGTGGATGAGCAACTGACCTTTAATAGCCTCAGTTTGACCCAAAATCATGTGTGCATTGCTTGGAAGGTAGTATCAGTGTTTTATGTTTACCAATCTGTGACCTTTGTTAATCACAGGGCATATGGAAATGCGATTAAGATTATTTAGTGCTTTGCATTTCACATAAACGTGCAATTGAGTTGTACTGTTCTTGGTATTATATAGCCGAATAATATTATTAATTCTGCTCAATACTTGACTGGAGTTGGGATACAAACAAGAGAAGTCTATATATATGTCCTAATAATCTTTTGAACATGACCAAGATGTGACTAATGCTGTCAAAATCACTTTAGCCTCCTTTGATTTTCATAAAAAGGTTTACTTTTTCATTCAAGGATAGAGATTAAATTAAATTCGATGCTAAGTTGAAGTTAATGTCTACCTTATGAGTTTTATAAACATAGGAAGCTTTGAAAGTCACAAAAGATGCTAGATTTCCCAATAAGTTTGCATGCTAAGTAAATGAAATGGAATCAAGTAGTTTCAGGGTCCTTGAATGTATAAATTGTTTTACATGGAACTCATGCTAGTTTACTGTGAAATTGGTTTTATCAAACTCCGAGGATATCTATTGTTAGGTTCTTTGGTTGGATGTAGATGTGCTATTCTAAAATTAATATTTTATATGTTTCTCATGTTGATGGTTGAATGTCTCAGATGAGAGGTTACAAGCTTTCATTAAACAGGGATGGTAGGTTAACTGTTAATATGGATTAAAATTAAAATTGTTGGTTTGCTGTTGATATTGCAATTAAAACATAAATTTGAAACCAACTTATGAGTCATTTGTATTCTTCCATTGTTGGGCATACATTCGGAATGCTTGCGTTAGACAATTAGTCTCTTGAAAACATTCAAATCTACTTCATCTTCAATCTCTTTATCATGTGAACTCCAAGTTAAATCTTTCATATGCCATATTACACTCTTAATGCGGAATAAATGTGAGCCTTGCTCTGGAAATTGTTAGTTTTGGATTTCCTGAGTTTTATCCCTTTAATATTAGTTGGCTAATGATGATTCAATCTATCAGAGTGTTGCTTTCTGGTTACTTTCATGTAAGTTCAGGCCATCCAGTACTCATAAGTTACCTTTTATCTCTTTTTTCTGTTAGAAGAAAATCTGGTCAAAAGCTTATAGCAGGTCTAGATTTTCAGTCCCACGACATTTGAAACAGATATTTGACATGAGTTTTGGATATTATTTCAATCTTGTAGGTGTCAGAGAAGTTCCCAGTGCCCCATGTGTTGGCAACCTATCAGCCTGAAGGATCCTACCAGGTCTGTATCCCATTCCATGTCTTCTTTGTTTTCTTTATTTACCTATACCTTTAGTTCAACAGAACTTATGATTTTGCTCACTTTGCCAGCCAGGAATTGCTTGAGGCTGTAGAGCAGGAGAGAAGCTTTAGTTTTAATACGTCTAGAAATGCTACCATATTTCATCATCCAACTCTGGGAGATTTTGAGTTGCAGCATGTTTGTACTCTTCCTATGATATTTGGAAGCTGTATTTGGTCAATAATTGCACGTATGTCTCATTGTTAGTGTTATTTCAATGTTGTTGCCTTCAATGCAGTTGCCAGTGGGTGCAAATGATGCCGAACTTGAAGAGCGTATAATCCAGCACTTAGCTGCAGCTGCTGCAATGGGGCGAGCACGCCACATTGCTAGAAGGGAAGGCCATAGGAATAGATCATCAGCTCATGGTCGTCCACAGTTCTTAGTGTTTTCAGCTCATCCTAATTCAGCTCCGGCCGGTTCTGTCTCTTCATCTCCTATTCAGAGAGAAGAAGGTGAACCAGCTCCTACAGCTACTCCCTCATCTCCTCCGACTGCGGCTGAAGATTCTTCACAATCAAATGTACAACTGCTTTCAGTTCAAGGTGACCATGGTTCAGCTTCACCATCTGGGTCAAATGCTCCTTCTCCCAATCAGCATGGCAATACCTTAAATAATAGGTATCTATCTTTCATTCATCTGTTATTAGATATGTTCATAAACTATTTATTCGTTTAACATATTTTTAATTCTTTAGTTTGTATCAAATTGCAATCATACATTTATTATCATCTTTTAGGAGCTCTCCTAATCAATCTTCCCCAAATAGTCAAGATAGAGCAGGACCATCAGAGTTCCAATCATTTTCAGAGTCTCTTAAATCTCGATTTAATGCAGTTTCAATGAGGTATCGATCATCTTTATGCATTCTTTACTTGTGACAAGGTTTGATTAAATCAGATGATTGCCTTCATTTTTATGGAGTGCAAAGAAAACTTGACCACCTTATTTTCTCCACAGGTACAAGGAGTCTATTTCAAAGAGTACAAGAGGGTGGAAAGAAAGATTTTTTTCTCGCAACAATACAATGGCAGATCTTGGTTCTGAAGTTAAGAGGGAGGTTAATGCTGGAATTGCTACAGTATCACGCATGATGGAGCGTCTAGAAACCAGAGACAATGGTAGAACTGACACTGCCTCTGTATCAAACAGTCCAAATAGCTCAGTTCCGGAGTCAAACAACCACCAAACATCTGGGAGTCCGGTCAATAATCCCGTGAATGATAATAATGGCCAAACTTCATGTGCTGCTGGTTCTGGTTCAAATTAAAAATAGTTCCGACAATTCCATCAGCACAAGGCATTTTATTCTGAAAGGTAATTCAAATTCTTTCTTCATTTGGACAAATGCATATATCTTCGTTTCACTATATTGTAAATTTCAATATGTGTGAACCAGTTTGCTTGCGATTAGAATTCTCTTTTGTTTAATATCTTTCTTTTTGTTAAAATTTATTTATTAATTTTTTTTGGTTCCTTCCTCAAACTGAATGTTACACGTTATTATCATCTGTCAAAAGTTGGAAATATTGATTGAGAAAAGATAAATATTTCGTGAAACTTGACATATTGTCTTATGGGTGTGAAAACTCTATCCTTCTCTTGTGAGCATTTCCTAGATGTCTTCTGTTTTGTAATATTCCCCCACTCTTTTGGCAAAAGTATAGGCTCCTCCTCTTTAAGTAATGATGGGTTTTTATAGTGTCATGATGTTTCTTATTTATCGTAGGGTTATCAACGAAAAGCCAGAAAATTTAGAAGTTTGGTCTCCTAGTTCTTGCAAATATGAACAACTTCAGTGGATGAATGTCGCCTTTTCCCTGAGTGGGAAAGCTAAGAGTTAACAGTACAAGGAATATGATAAAATTTTCTTTGGTGAATGTGTGCCAATTCTGGGGTTCATTACATTATTACTGAATACTGAATCATTTATCTTTCTAGTTTTAATATGCCTGGGGCGGGGTCATTTGCGGTACTACAGTTTTCGTTGATGCACTGCGTTTAATGTCATATAATGGTTACTTCTCTGATTTAGTTGTGCACTTTGAGCTTCCCCACATCCCTTTGAGACACAACTTTTTGCTTAGCATAATTTTCTGAACAGCTTCTAGGTTCTTTCCTCACTTGTTTTATCCAGTTTGAAGAATATTGATACTGGTTGATATGCTATCCAATCTTTTCATATTTTTTTAGTGGAGCATGCTTGATCTTTAGTATGCACGTGTGTGGAAGGTTTCTAGATTTGGGTATAGCTTCTAGATTATGGGTTCAACTTTAAGAGTTACTGTGGCATACTTATTTTGTATCTGCTCATGGAAATTCCCTTTTCTTGATGGCCTTTGGTTTAGTACTCAAGCTATCATTACATAATTTAAGTGACTATATGGAAAAATAATTCGAATGTGGAGTATAGGTACCCAAGTTATGTATTGAAAGCGAGATTCCCAAACCAGAGGCAGAATAATTGCCGTTTATTAGCTTGATTGCATCCCTTTAGTTTCTTATGACCTATTTGGGAAGACAATCAAGATCTTTCGGCTGTAGAGGGAACTGACAAAAATGCTTCTCTTTTTGGAAACGTGTCACATGATGGAAATAACAATAAAATAATTAATGACAACCTTATAAATTTTGTGCTTATTTTGTATTAGAGGAGGAGTAATTTAATGGTTAAGCCCTCTGGCATTTATAATTTATGAACCTGCTTCTTGTGGAAAAGGGAGAATGGACAATTTTAATTTTATTTGAAGGCCAATTAATTTTCATGTTTACTAAAAGTAAGAAGCTTTAAGAAGTCCAGGATATGGTGTAGGGATGTTGTATCAGAAAATGATACACTTTAGGCTCCATGATATTGGAGTTTGTCCAGGGGGAGGAGAACTAGCTTTATGGACCATGAGTCATTGACTGAAGTCTCAATAGAAATACTTCTGAAAATAAGGACTTCTCAGATGGTGTTTGAAGGATTTCACTTGATAGAAAATTCTAACGAATCATAAACTTTAACCTTCTTTGAAATGTTTACAGTTCTAATCCCAAAATTCTTGAGTTTCTTATAGTAATAATTAAAAAGAAAAAAAGGAAGAAAAGACTAAGATTGCCATTTTTTCCAATCTCCATTGTGCTTTCAACTCCAACTTTAAATTCAGGAAGAATGAAGAATGCATGTTGTTTCAATATCTTATGTAGTCATAGATTTTGGCATCATGTTTGGCGACCAAATGTGAGGTGAGCATACCAATGGCATGTGCGTTCAATTGAATTTGCCTTATGGTTACCTGTTTGCAATAAGGGAGGTATGAATGTGTATATGCAAATTATAGATTATTACCCTTTAAGAAGTAATCAAGCTCAACTGAGGGTGGGGAGGAGAATAGTATTATATTGAGATAGTGGCAAACAGAAACTACGAGAAGGATGACTCTAGTATTCTCCAACCTTTCCCAATTGACAAGTAGTCTAATGCCCACTCCTCTCCTTTTCCCCTCACCCCTTTTATCAGAAGAGCTATTACCATTGTGGTAACTAGTTATTGTTTGCAGTGATTGCTTTAACATCACTATTGTGGTTCCATTCAGAATTATTGTTTACTAATAGGGCCAACCTAATTGATGTTTTTTCTTTAAGACAGGGATAGGATAATTGGTTTAATTGATTTTAATCAGAGGAGGTCCATTCATTTGGAGTGTTGGTTGAGATTTCTCCTTCTTGTGTAGCAATTTAGGGCGACTTCAAAATAATTTAGTATCTTTAAATCTTTTGCATATTGTTTATTTGTTGGATAATGAAATGTCCGAAGATTTTTGCAAGCACAGGAAGCAGAATGGAGGTTGTAGCTTGGGCGAATATATTTAATGCACACCAATTAATGCTTTTTAATTTGGTTTTTGTTTTTGTTTAGAATCTCGGACTTGCTGCTGCTTTGTATGATTCTTGTTTGTGTTCTATGATTGATTTGTTTTTGATATTGAAAGTAACTATTCAACTATGGAGAAGTCTTTGATAAAAGGTTGACCTTGGTTTTCCAGATATTGGCATACTGTAATGTGCCGCATTGCCTCTATCCATCCTGTAGAGAATCCTTTGAGAAGATGATTCAGAATAAAGCTAGAGACAGAAACCACTTCTATTTGAACCTAGAAAACAGTTGATGATTGTAAATCAGTTTATATTTGAAAACTTATGGTTTGAGTCTTGGATGCTAAATTGAATGATATTATAGATGTTTTAAATGTTTACCAATCATACAAGCATAATATATAATCAATTTTTGTTTAGACTTATGAATTCAATTTTTGTTTAGACTTATGAATTTACTTTAAATCCTGGATGAATTAATGTATGCATCATGACTTGTTCAATGGGTAATGATGTGGTACAGCCCACATATACATTTATAATGAAAAATATAAACTTCTTTCGTTGAATTTCATTTAATTTTTTGACTCAAAAAAAGGTCTGATATTAGCTGTTTGCTTTTTCTTGTCATATATTATTATTTGTAAATCATGTTGAGTACAGTTCAAGGTGACCATGGTTCAGCTTCACCATCTGGGTCAAATGCTCCTTCTCCCAATCAGCATGGCAATACCTTAAATAATAGGTATCTATCTTTCATTCATCTGTTATTAGATATGTTCATAAACTGTTTATTCGTTTAACATATTTTTAATTCTTTAGTTTGGATCAAATTGCGATCATACATTTATTATCATCTTTTAGGAGCTCTCCTAATCAATCTTCCCCAAATAATCAAGATAGAGCAGGACCATCAGAGTTCCAATCATTTTCAGAGTCTCTTAAATCTCGATTTAATGCAGTTTCAATGAGGTATCGATCATCTTTATGCATTCTTTACTTGTGACAAGGTTTGATTAAATCAGATGATTGCCTTCATTTTTATGGAGTGCAAAGAAAACTTGACCACCTTATTTTCTCCACAGGTACAAGGAGTCTATTTCAAAGAGTACAAGAGGGTGGAAAGAAAGATTTTTTTCTCGCAACAATACAATGGCAGATCTTGGTTCTGAAGTTAAGAGGGAGGTTAATGCTGGAATTGCTACAGTATCACGCATGATGGAGCGTCTAGAAACCAGAGACAATGGTAGAACTGACACTGCCTCTGTATCAAACAGTCCAAATAGCTCAGTTCCGGAGTCAAACAACCACCAAACATCTGGGAGTCCGGTCAATAATCCCGTGAATGATAATAATGGCCAAACTTCATGTGCTGCTGGTTCTGGTTCAAATTAAAAATAGTTCCGACAATTCCATCAGCACAAGGCATTTTATTCTGAAAGGTAATTCAAATTCTTTCTTCATTTGGACAAATGCATATATCTTCGTTTCACTATATTGTAAATTTCAATATGTGTGAACCAGTTTGCTTGCGATTAGAATTCTCTTTTGTTTAATATCTTTCTTTTTGTTAAAATTTATTTATTAATTTTTTTTGGTTCCTTCCTCAAACTGAATGTTACACGTTATTATCATCTGTCAAAAGTTGGAAATATTGATTGAGAAAAGATAAATATTTCGTGAAACTTGACATATTGTCTTATGGGTGTGAAAACTCTATCCTTCTCTTGTGAGCATTTCCTAGATGTCTTCTGTTTTGTAATATTCCCCCACTCTTTTGGCAAAAGTATAGGCTCCTCCTCTTTAAGTAATGATGGGTTTTTATAGTGTCATGATGTTTCTTATTTATCGTAGGGTTATCAACGAAAAGCCAGAAAATTTAGAAGTTTGGTCTCCTAGTTCTTGCAAATATGAACAACTTCAGTGGATGAATGTCGCCTTTTCCCTGAGTGGGAAAGCTAAGAGTTAACAGTACAAGGAATATGATAAAATTTTCTTTGGTGAATGTGTGCCAATTCTGGGGTTCATTACATTATTACTGAATACTGAATCATTTATCTTTCTAGTTTTAATATGCCTGGGGCGGGGTCATTTGCGGTACTACAGTTTTCGTTGATGCACTGCGTTTAATGTCATATAATGGTTACTTCTCTGATTTAGTTGTGCACTTTGAGCTTCCCCACATCCCTTTGAGACACAACTTTTTGCTTAGCATAATTTTCTGAACAGCTTCTAGGTTCTTTCCTCACTTGTTTTATCCAGTTTGAAGAATATTGATACTGGTTGATATGCTATCCAATCTTTTCATATTTTTTTAGTGGAGCATGCTTGATCTTTAGTATGCACGTGTGTGGAAGGTTTCTAGATTTGGGTATAGCTTCTAGATTATGGGTTCAACTTTAAGAGTTACTGTGGCATACTTATTTTGTATCTGCTCATGGAAATTCCCTTTTCTTGATGGCCTTTGGTTTAGTACTCAAGCTATCATTACATAATTTAAGTGACTATATGGAAAAATAATTCGAATGTGGAGTATAGGTACCCAAGTTATGTATTGAAAGCGAGATTCCCAAACCAGAGGCAGAATAATTGCCGTTTATTAGCTTGATTGCATCCCTTTAGTTTCTTATGACCTATTTGGGAAGACAATCAAGATCTTTCGGCTGTAGAGGGAACTGACAAAAATGCTTCTCTTTTTGGAAACGTGTCACATGATGGAAATAACAATAAAATAATTAATGACAACCTTATAAATTTTGTGCTTATTTTGTATTAGAGGAGGAGTAATTTAATGGTTAAGCCCTCTGGCATTTATAATTTATGAACCTGCTTCTTGTGGAAAAGGGAGAATGGACAATTTTAATTTTATTTGAAGGCCAATTAATTTTCATGTTTACTAAAAGTAAGAAGCTTTAAGAAGTCCAGGATATGGTGTAGGGATGTTGTATCAGAAAATGATACACTTTAGGCTCCATGATATTGGAGTTTGTCCAGGGGGAGGAGAACTAGCTTTATGGACCATGAGTCATTGACTGAAGTCTCAATAGAAATACTTCTGAAAATAAGGACTTCTCAGATGGTGTTTGAAGGATTTCACTTGATAGAAAATTCTAACGAATCATAAACTTTAACCTTCTTTGAAATGTTTACAGTTCTAATCCCAAAATTCTTGAGTTTCTTATAGTAATAATTAAAAAGAAAAAAAGGAAGAAAAGACTAAGATTGCCATTTTTTCCAATCTCCATTGTGCTTTCAACTCCAACTTTAAATTCAGGAAGAATGAAGAATGCATGTTGTTTCAATATCTGATGTAGTCATAGATTTTGGCATCATGTTTGGCGACCAAATGTGAGGTGAGCATACCAATGGCATGTGCCTTCAATTGAATTTGCCTTATGGTTACATGTTTGCAATAAGGGAGGTATGAATGTGTATATGAAAATTATAGATTATTACCCTTTAAGAAGTAATCAAGCTCAACTGAGGGTGGGGAGGAGAATAGTATTATATTGAGATAGTGGCAAACAGAAACTACGAGAAGGATGACTCTAGTATTCTCCAACCTTTCCCAATTGACAAGCAGTCTAATGCCCACTCCTCTCCTTCTCCCCTCCCCCCTTTTATCAGAAGAGCTATTACCATTGTGGTAACTAGTTATTGTTTGCAGTGATTGCTTTAACATCACTACTGTGGTTCCATTCAGAATTATTGTTTACTAATGGGGCCAATCTAATTGATGTTTTTTCTTTAAGACAGGGATAGGATAATTGGTTTAATTGATTTTAATCAGAGGAGGTCCATTCATTGGAGTGTTGGTTGAGATTTCTCCTTCTTGTGTAGCAATTTAGGGCGACTTAAAAATAATTTTGTATCTTTAAATCTTTTGCATATTGTTTTTTTGTTGGATAATGAAATGTCAGAAGATTTTTGCAAGCACAGGAAGCAGAATGGAGGTTGTAGCTTGGGCGAATATATTTAATGCATACCAATTAATGCTTTTTAATGTGGTTTTTGTTTTTGTTTAGAATCTCAGACTTGCTGCTGCTTTGTATGATTCTTGTTTGTGCTCTATGATTGATTTGTTTTTGATATTGAAAGTAACTATTCAACTATGGAGAAGTCTTTGATAAAAGGTTGACCTTGGTTTTCCAGATATTGGCATACTGTAATGTGCCGCATTGCCTCTATCCATCCTGTAGAGAATCCTTTGAGAAGATGATTCAGAATAAAGCTAGAGACAGAAACCACTTCTATTTGAACCTAGAAAACAGTTGATGATTGTAAATCAGTTTATATTTGAAAACTTATGGTTTGAGTCTTGGATGCTAAATTGAATGATATTATAGATGTTTTAAATGTTTACCAATCATACAAGCATAATATATAATCAATTTTTGTTTAGACTTATGAATTTACTTTAAATCCGGGATGAATTATTGTATGCATCATGACTTGTTCAATGGGTAATGATGTGGTACTGCCCACATATACATTTATAATGAAAAATATAAACTTCTTTCATTGAATTTCATTTAATTTTTTGACTCAAAAAAAGGTCTGATATTAACTGTTTGCTTTTTCTTGTCATATATTATTATTTGTAAATCATGTTGAATAGTGTGTCATAATAACTGAATTTTAAATATTTCTATACATTTGAGAATAAAGTAATCTTACACTTACAAACTCTTTTCACTAACTTTCTCTTACAAACGCGACATATCAGTTCGTAATTGGTCAGTCCGTAATGGGTTCTATATGTCTAATAATGGGTCTCGTTTGATTAAATGCAAATTGATCAATTACGAACTGTCACGTCAGCGTTTGTGAGAGAAAGTTGTGAGAAGTGTTTGTTAACCTATTTTTATTCTTGAGAATATGTTATATACCATTTTTTGTTACGGTCTTAGTTCTGCCTACTGATAAGAAACATTCGTATCTCTTTTGTTATTATAAAACAAGAAGTTTCCATTCCAAAATTAACATGTAGAGAAGTATATGAAAAACGTGTTAGGTGGCTTTTTAAAGTTTGAAAGCTTAGAAGATGTATATGAAAAACCTATTTATGTAGTCTTGAGGCCATCACGGGAAGGAGAATTAATACTTTACAATTATGAGTGCCTGCAGAAGGTACAAAATCTTGCCAAATGAGCAAATGACAAAGTACAATTATGTACAACTTGGTGTTGTACAAATTAGAGTACAGGAGATGGCTGACGTTTGGAAAAGCTTTGGTTGGTGGATTTCACGCTAACTTAGCTTTATGAGATGCCTATGGAACTGTGAAACTAGGATACATGGTTAGTCTTAATGTACCAAATCCCAAAAGGATAATGGTTCTTAGAATTCATACCTTAAGACTGAAGATTTAATGGCTCCTAGTGACGGAATATCAATTCAGTATAGGATGATATATCGACTAATAAACTCGGTTAAATCCTATACGAATGAACTCCAATGTAGATACTGAAGTTCATGGCTCGGAACTAGATTCTGTAATTCCTATTTGACCAATAGTGGTCAACGCAAAGGCTCTTACGCGACCAAAACAATGGGTTTTATAATATACAAAACAACCTAGCGTGGTCGAATTAAACCCCAATCGATGAATTCAAATATGAGAACTTGCTAATGAAGTAGAGGTAACTTTGAATACGCCTAGAGCTTCATTCTTTCTTGAGCTGGAAAAAAAGGTTCAACCCATAATACCAAGGAATAATATATTGGAAACAGAAGATACTGTTAGTGAATCTGAAAGTAGCAATAGTAGGAGAATTGTTAGGTATAAATCGGTACAGATTCCAGAATATGAGGATGATACTCCAAGCACAAGAATGATGATGAATCATGATATACATTGTCATGAAATAGTGCAAGGAACTAATGACACATGTATATGTGCTAAACTTTGCTTCTCAGAATATGAAGAATATACTTATGGATGTTTTGGTAGACACAGGGACAACTAAAATGCATTACAAGGAAACAATGTTTTCCAAAGGAGCTTGGGAAATCTTTGGAAAAACCAATATTAAAAATAGTTGCAAACGAAGGTCAAAGTATGATAACAGAGGTAGTTGAAAATGTGGTGACAAAAACCACTTTGTGGATAAATGCCCTCATAAGCGTAAGACGAAGGCTTAACGTTGAAAATAAGATTTTTGAATTTGAACCAGTATGGGGATATGAAATGGATTCGAATAAAGTTTATGAATTAATTTTGGAATATTATGAAGATTTGACTCTTTAAAAGACGACTCAAAAGAAAACCTTTTGAAGAACAATATTCAAACCTGAAATGCATAGGAGTATTCATGAATTGATTTGAAATCCTTAATGAATACCTTGAAGCATGGCAAAATTGGTGGTGGGATGATCTAATACCAATTAGGAATTAAGATGATCTTCTTGAAGGAATTTGTAACCATTTGAACTCATTTGAAGGATTTCTCAAGGAAATTTCCAAACTCGAATACAAACTAAGATCAAAGTTTTTACCTAGGGGATTGCCAAGAATGGTGGAAATACCATCCAGTGGAAGTTTCTTAAATATTGATTGCGTTAATGAATTTTTTTTTTTTTTTTTTTTTTTTTTTTTTTTTTTTTTTTATCGAGAGTGTTCGGGTTAGTTTACGTGCACCTCGACTAGTCTCCCGACCTCGAACAAGGCTTTCGAAACAGGGTAAGTCCTATGGTCCGTGGCCAACAATATTAGCAACCATTCTTGTGATTCGAACCTAAGACCATAGGGGGAGCAAACCCTTTGGCCCAAAGTCTTTACCACTCGACCAACCCATTGTTGGTTCGTTATTAATGTTATTGACGCAATTGAAGCATGGGAAACAGTTAACTGGGTCCATGTTCAAAATAAAGCATTTAGACTTGGTGAAGCTTATAGATTTCTAAGATCCACACTGCAAGGTGTTGCAAGAAGCTTCTGGAGAAGTTTAGAAGCTGGAACTGGATAGGTGTTGCAAGAAGCTTCTAGAGAAGTTTAAAAGCTGGAACTGGATTGTTAGATACTGTAAGGGATTTGAAAAGTTTAGAGGCGATCTTTGCACTT